TTCTACTGAGCTATCTCCCAGGCCTGGCACTGTTATTTCTAAAAAATAGAATATTTGAAGAAGTATTTCACTGGGATAATTAACTTTTTAATATTTATGTCTACTGTTTACCCATATTCTTCAAAGCAAAAACAGTCCCTTGGTAATCCATCCTGAATAAAGAAAAAGCACTGCTTCAGTAGTGGTTTTGGTTGGGCTGGGGAGACTGCTCAGTGGCATAAGCACCTGACCGGCATGCACAAGGTCCTGAGTTCAATCCCCAGTACCGCACACACACAAAAAGGCTTTGGAAGTGATGTTTTGAGCTTTTCTTTTTCTTTTTTCTTTTTTTTTCAAAATTTTATTAATAAACAGATAGCAATGAGACAGTTTCAAATCAAATTGGAAGTACAGTTTCAACAAATAATACACTGCATATATTCTTCTTAGTGGTTAATTGCTGTACAAGATGCGGACTTGTGATCCTATTTACAAACACCATTAGAACAAATCATTCTATTTATGAAGAGAATGCAACTATATATCCTAACCACTTTGAATACACAGATACAAAATGGACACTCATCGGTATACCCCATTTGTTCTAAGTTCCATTATTGAATATTATAGGTGTGTAAACTCAGCAAAATATTCTAAAAGAGTCCCGTAGCCCATAATACTATTGGGTCTTCTGTTTAACTGGCAATGTCAGAAATTATTGACCTGAGTCCCCCACAGCTCAACATAACAACATGGCTTTGCTTCCTATATTTCGTCTTCATTCTTTTCTACTGGATGTTTTGAGCTTTTCAAACTAAACAGACCCACAAAAAGCTAGAGGAAGGAATTAGAAACCATCCAAGCTCCTTTTTGTCCCAGGGTCTTGCTATGTTATACAAGCTGTTTTGTTTGGTTTTTTAATGTATTTAGTACAGGGTCTACAGGGTCTTACCACACAGATCACACTCATAGGATTCTCCTGTTTTCAGCCTCCCAAGTGCTGGGATTACAGGCAGGCACCACCACGCCAGTCTCAATGACCATCTCAGTGCACTGCAGGGGCAGGGCCGGCAGGCACCCTGGAGATGGAACCTGGTCCTTGAGCCCACTCGCGGTATAGCTCAGGCTAGCCTCAAGCTCGCAATCCTCCTGCCTCAGCTCCCTGAGTGCTGGGATCATGTGTATGGTGCCATGCCTGCTCCCCATATTTTCTGACTCTGACTTTGGTCTGGTGGTCCATGCCAGACAGCAAGACACTGTGTTTGACGGCCTCGCTGGTGGCTTCCTATGTCCTGACTGGCAGGCCGAATTGGAGCCTCTGGAGGTACAAATGTCGCAGGCCTGGTGGAAGTTGCTTCTGACACAACCAAGCCTCCCAGGAGGTTTGGATCTGATGCTGGGGATGTGAGAGGAAGAAGGGCACTGCACATGAGCCCAGTCCTTGTGCTGAGGCTGCAGCGGCCTGGGAAGGAACTTGAGGCCACCCCCCCAGCCTAGGCGCCCTCCCACCCTTCCTCCCTGTGGACCAGCTGTGCCCTGGCGGGCCTATGCCCAGCAGCTGCCCATTAGGCACAGGTCTGACCTTCCTGGGCTGGCTCGTTGCCCTTCTGGGTGCAGGATGAGTCTGCAGCTAGCGGTAGACACATCAGCTCTCTGGAGAAGACCAGGAGTGAAGAGCATGTTGCTCCCCACACCGCAAAGAGGTTGAGACAGCTGCAGGTGGTGAGAACGGCCAGGTGAGGGCCACACTGTGAGACCTGCAGGGTCCCCCTTGGCTGCACCCCCACCCTGCTGTGTGGTCCCCAGGGTGTCCGAGGGGATCAAGCTGTATCCCCAGTGGTGCTCCGTGCCTCCTGGGGGCCAGCTGCTCCCCTTGATGGACAGAATCTGGAGGCTGCGGGACGAAGGCTGGGGCCCTGCCACAAAACTACACACTGCACCCGACCACCTTCCCGGGCAGTGTGGAGGCGTGCAGCTGGGGCTCACTAGGCCGTGCCAGCACTGCCTGGGACTGCCAACCACACTTGCCAGCAGAGGCACACCTCAGCACCACCCTGTCCCCTCGGAGCCCGAGTTCCTGGCGCAGGCCACTGGCAACTACCTGCCCTCTTCTAGGCCGCGTAACGCTGTTGCATGAGCGACAGCAGCACTAGAGAGGGCACAGGCTAGAAGGCTACGTGTGGGCCGTTGGGGGCCGTAAGTGCTCCCCCCGCCGTGACTCCTGGTGACTGATGCTCTGGCGGCTGGATCCTCCGGGAGGTGCCATCAAGATCTGGCACTGAGAGTGGCTGGCCTGGCAGCGATCCTCCTGCCTCAGCTTCCTCAGCCACTGCACTGGCTTACTTTTGAGAATTTACTTTGAGGAACTGAGCTAAGGACAAGGTTTAACATTCAGGGATGTTCAAGGCTACAGTTCTACTGGAACAGGACAGGACTTTAGCTTCTTTTTCTTTTTTTAATGTATCTGGTATGGGGTCTCACTACGCAGCTCAGACTGGTGGTGATCCTCCTGTTTTCAGCCTCCCCAGTGCTGGGATTATAGGTGTGCGCCACCATGCTCACTCTTGGTGGCCCACTAAGCACAGGTTCTGGGGATCAAACCCCAGTCCCTGTGTTCACCTAAGCAGGTGCTAAGTCCACTGAGCTATCTCCCAACCCTTGTAGTTTTTTTTCCTTCTTTTTGAGACAGGGTCTCAACATGTAGTTTGTGCTGGCCTTCTGCTCATTTTTGTAGCCCCCAGGCTGGTCTCAAACTTGCAGAAACCCTGGCTCAACCTCCAGAGTGCTGGGATTACAGGCATGTGCCACCACGCCCTGTTCAACAGCAACTTGTTGTGCACATGCACAACACGTGGGGCTGGGGATTGAACTCTGGTCCTTGTGCTTCCCAGGTAGTTGCTTATGCCTCTGAGTTATCTCTCCAGCCCCTTGTTGTCGTCGTTTTTAATCAGAAACATAAGAGCAGAGCAGAGCAGAGGAGATAGCTCAGTGGCATAAGTACCTGCCTAGCAAGTACAAAGTCCTGAGTTCAATCCCCGGTATAAAAAAACAAAACAAACAAAAAAACATAGTGGCAGAAGAGACAGAAAGACAACTTAAATGACCAAGGGTTTGGGAATTGTGTTGCATGAGGACTGACCTAAATGAACTAAAATTCTACCTCTTCTGCAGCAACAGTTGAGGGAAGGGTCAGTACGAGCTGTAATACCCCGACAGCCTGCTATGTTCCAGCACCAAGTAAGTGTATTAGTTTATAGTTTTAAATATTTATTTTAGGGGCTGGAGAGATGGCTCAGTGGTCTAAAGCACCTACTTAGAACAAGCTTAGCAAAGCATCAAGGACTGCGGTTCAATCCCCCAGCACCACATGCCAGCCAGCCCCGCCCCCTGGTGGGCTGAGCTGGCCACACACACACACACACACACACACACACATAAATAAAATTAAAAAATTAAAAAAAACGAAAAAAAAAAAGAAAAACATTCTCTTGGTTTTTTTTGTTTTAATTTTATTTATTTGTGTGTGTGTGTGTGTGGCCAGCTCAGTCCACCAGGGGGCAGGGCTGGCTGGCATGTGGTGCTGGGGGATTGAACCGCGGTCCCTGTGCTTTGCTAAGCTTGTTCTAAGTAGGTGCTTTAGACCACTGAGCCATCTCACCAGCCCCATTTATTGGGTTTTTGAGACAGGGTCTTGCTAGTTAGTCCTGGCTGACCTTGAACTCACAGTGCTCCTCCTGCCTCAGCCTCCCCAGTACTGGGATTACAGGCGGGGTGAAGCATTTTTTAAAAAAGTGATGTAACTGATGCTCCAACTCAGTCTGGTCTCCAATCGTGATCTTGTTGGACTATACTAAATACACATCAGGCATGGTGGTGCACAAGTGTAACCCCAGTGCTGGGGAGGCTGAGACAGGAGGATTGCCAGTTCAAAGCCAGCTTGAACTACAGAGTGAGACCCTCTTTCAAAAAACCCACAAAAAAAAAAAAAAAAACCCAACACCCAAACAAAGAAAAACCCAATTCACTCACAAATCCTGCAGAGGATTTTCTAGAGGTTAAGGACATCAGAATGGTGCTATTAGTTTTGGTCTGAGCAGCAGGGAACACATACAGGTGAGATCTTTTTGTTTAATCCTGGGGATTGTTAGGTCTGTACAAAAATCTTTTCCTGGCCAATCTGACTTCCACAATATATAATCCTCATTGCCAGAAGTGAAAATGTTTCACGCACACACACACACACCTAGCCCTTTCCTGTTCCTTACTTAAGAGGAAGCATTTGACCAGGCACAGTGGTGCCCGCTTGTAATGCTAGCGGGCAAGAGGTCAGCGTGGTCTACACAGCGAGTCAGAGTTAAAAAACAAAACAATGTCGCTCTACCCACTCTGAGGGGGTGCTGGGCAAGCTAGAGCAGCTCTCTACCACTGAGGCCCATCCTCAGCTCGGCGTGTGCTTTTACACCAATAAAGGACTGCAGATAGATACTGGTTCTTTTGAATAGACAACGTGCCCCATAAAACTCGCAGCGCATCGGGCTGTCGGTGCACTTGCGCCGTCGCCCCGCCCCGCCCCGCCCGGGTCCCGCGCAGCTCCTAGCTCGGATGTTTTAGGCAGCGTTCATTCTCCGTCGTTTTGGATCTCATCCGATCTCTGCACCTGTGCTTTTACCCTCTCTTCCTCAATCTCTCCCTTCCTCCCTTCTTCCCGAACAGATCCAGGGCGCCAGCGCCCAGAGGCGTGACCTTGGCGCGTAGGCTGCGAGCTCGCGGCGCGACCTTCCGCCAAACCCCGCTCTCCGAGGCCTCCGGCGGCCGGACCTCCGGCTCTCCCCCGCCTTCCTCTGCGCGCGCTCCACGCCTACGCTACCGGCGTAGTGGCCGCTGAGCGTGGCGCGCCGCGGCCGTCTCAGGCGTTCGTTTACGCCGCGCGGGCGAGGAGGGCGCGATTCCCGAACGCGGCCTGCGCTGCGAGCGCGCCGCCGTCCCGCAGCCCGGCGCGGCCTTACGCCGCTGACGCAGCGCGCCCAAGATGGCGGCGTGGTCGTCGTCGGGGGTGGCGGCGGCAGAGGGGGCGGCGGCCGTGGCGGGAGCGGCAACGGCAGCCGTGACGGCGGCGGCGGCGGCGGCGCGGGACCTGGGTCGGGGGGAATGAGGAGGCCGCGGCGGGCCAGCGGCGAAGCCGAGTAGCGGAGAAGCGGCTTTCCCTCTGCTTCCTTTGGGCACGCCGGGGGCGCGCGCGCGAGGCCGTCCGGAGCGGGCTCCCCACCCCTCGACTCCAGCGACCCGCACGGCACCCGCACCGGGCCCGGAGGATGATGAAGCTCAAGTCGAACCAGACCCGCACCTATGACGGCGACGGCTACAAGAAGCGGGCCGCGTGCCTGTGTTTCCGCAGTGAGAGCGAGGAGGAGGTGAGGCGGGGGCGCGGCGGCCCGGGCCGGCCGGGGTGCGGACGCCCCGCTCGGCCCGGAAACTCGGGCGGGGTCTCCTGTGGCTGCCCGAGGGTCCGGGGAGCGGCCCGGGCGCGCGCGGCGGTCGTGGCCTGCGGCGGGGACGCGCAGGGTCGTTGCCTGTCAGCCGGGAGCGGCCGGCGCGGTAGCGGCTGGGACCCGCGTCTCCGACCCGGGAAGGGCAGCCCCGCGCGCGTCACCCGGCACATGTGTGCGGGCCCGCAGTGCACGAGGCGCAGGCGGCCTTTGGGCCTCCTCGGCGGCGGGTTTGGGGTGCCGGGGGATTATGTGAGCCTCTTGAGCCCCGGGCGCGTGTGGGCTGGAGGGGGGTGTCGGGAGATTTAGGGCGCCGCGCACTAGGCAGGGCCGGCTGTCTGCTCGCAGCGTGCTGCTTCCCCTCGTGGGGTTGCACGGAGAAAAGACAGCTGATAAAAACATTTCATTTTCTTTTGTGGACTAAAAATTTTTATTTTCCTTGGGAAAAATCGAAAGATTTTTGCCTTTGCCCTGACATTCTTCCTTTACCATGTAGTCAAGGTCCTCGATACTGAAACTGCTAGGAAGTCAGAATTGCTAGGAACATAAAGATGTTTTATAATCAGGTTTATTTTGGGGGAAGTGGGGAGGTTACCCAAGTAAGTAAATCAATCCCGGACTCCCAGAGCCGCCTTTGTGGCGATGAAGGAGAAATTCAGAGAAGGCGCATGTTCTGTAAATCCACAAAGAGTAGCTGCTCTGGAAATTCATAAGATGCCTGTGGGAACGCGTTTCTCTCCTGTGCATGATGGTAAAATGGCAGTTACACTGCAGACAATGAAGAACAGTGAAATTCGTTGTGTGGTACATTCCGGCTGAACGCTGTGGGCCCTTGTGGCAGGCCACAGCTCTCTTCGACACAGCACTCTTCGTGTTGAAATGGGGGAAAGGAACTGGACCCGTTAGTTATGAAAAACTATGATGAAAGAGACAGCCTGGACTGCCAGGGGTTGCTATCCGGAGATGCTTAGGGGGAAGTGGAAATTTAAATTAGTGCCTGAAAAAATTAGTGAAGCACTCTTTGTGCTGCTGAGCTTGTATGCTCTTTTGCATAAAAATAGCTTTGAAAATGTATACTTTATGTCCTAGCATATGTTATAACCCCCCCAAAGAGATGCATTGTAATAGTGATACGAAGTAGGGCCATATTGTAAATTATGTACTGTTTTGGTATACATACTTGAGTACAATTATTGGTGTTGGTTACTGTTTTAGAGATTTTGTTCTCTTTATTATATCATATTATGGGAAATCAGATAGGCTCAGGCTATTAACTGGAGAGAAAACTAATTAGCATAATAACATCTCTTACTACACTACCATGGTTACATCTGTGAGCACCCCAATTTTTTTTTTAAAGAGGTAAATATTTTTTTCCAAAATTTTATTGATAAACAGATAGCAATGAGACAGTTTCAAATCAAATCAGAAGTACAGTTTCAACAAATAACACACTGCATATATTCTTCTTAGTGGTTAATTGCTGTACAAGATGCGGACTTGAGATCCTATTTACAAACACCATTAGAACAAATCATTCTATTCATGAAGAGAATGCAACTATATATCTATCCTAACTACTTTGAATACACAGATACAAAATGGACATTCATCAGTATACCCCATTTTTTCTAAGTTCCGTTATTGAATATTATAGGTGTGTAAACTCAGGAAAATATTCTAAAAGAGTCCAGTAGCCCATAATAGCCTTGGGTCTTCTGTTTAACTGGCAATGTCAGAAATTATTGACCTGAGTCCACCACAGCTCAACATAACAGCATGGCTTTACTTCCTATATTTCGTCTTCATAGTTTTCTACTGGATGGTTAAGACCAAGGTAAAGCAGGACCTGTGCAACAAGAGTTGTAGCTTTTTGGTCTGAGAAGGTCAGTGAAATCCCCTCAGGATTTATCCTGAGATCCTGTACCTCAGATTGTAGAACCTTTATCAGTGCAGCCATGTGGATGAGTCACGGCCATTGCTTGGCCAATGTGCTCTCTGTGAAAGCCTGAGAGAGTGTCTTCTCCCCATGTGACTCTCCTTAGGCCCACTCTACGTCATCGATCACTTTCCTCTTTGGCCCCATAATCTTCTTGATCAGAAAATTTGGGACACTACCGAGGTACATGACGTTACAGTACAAGTTCTCTTATGTCCTGAGTCTTAATTGACCTTAGAAGACTAGGGCCAAAATGTTGGCTTTCCTTATAGCCCTCCTTTTTCTCTAATTTTGGTCTGCAAACTTAGGTTGTTAACTATCCAGAAGACAAGCTTATTGTTATTATCAAACGATTTGAGCACCCCAATTATAAGAAGGCTGTATAATTTAGTCAGATGAATGATGTACGACTTTTTGTTTCAAGAATCATACTAGAAATTGAAAACATGAGGACTTTGGATACATTGGAATCCTTTTTATTTTTATTTTTGGCAGAACGGGGGATTGAACCCAGGCCCTTGTGCTTGCCAGGGAAGTGCTTATTCTACTGAGCCATGTCCTGGCCCCTGGAATCCTTTTTAGATCATAAGCAGAGATTTGATTCTCCACTTACTTGTTACAGGTTCTATTTCCTACTGACATTAGCAGTGTTAATGTTAACCCAACTGTCTTTTTTTTTTTTTTTTAAATTTTTTATTTATTTATGTGTGTGTGTGTGTGTGTGTGTGTGTGTGTGTGTGTGTAGCCAGCTCAGCCCACCAGGGGGCGGGGCTGGCTGGCATGTGGTGCTGGGGGATTGAACCGCGGTCCCTGTGCTTTGCCAAGCTTGTTCCAAGTAGGTGCTTTAGACCACTGAGCCATCTCACCAGCCCCTGTCTTTTGCAGTCTTTGTGGTACTAGGGATAGATCCCAGGGCCTTTGCACATAGCCCTTTTAATTTCTGAAGCAGTTTCCCTAGGTTACCAGGGAAACTTGGAATTGTCTTGCCTCAGCCTCTCAGAAAAGACATTTTTGGAGTAAGTTGGTTCCATTTGCTTAATTGTGGCATTTCCTTTAATGAATTTCTTTTTGAATGTTGGTTAATGAGCAGAAAAATCATGTAAATCTTTTAATTACAGATTCATTCCATGTTACAACTAAAGCCTGGGGAGAACACAAAAATGTAGTGTGCCCATTTTCGATTTGTTCGGTTCAGTTGGCCAAGTGTGTTTGAAATAAAGAGCCTACTGTGGATGCAGCATTCAGTTATGCAGGATTTAAAAAAAAATCTCCCTGCCCAAAGTAGTTTACATGGGGTCCTTTAAGTGGATAGGATTTTGGACCATAAAGTAATCTCTAGGGCACTGTTTAACTTGCAGATTATATAATTGTGTTGGAAAGGAAGTAATTTGTTAGTTCCAGGAGAACTTTTATGTTCTCAGTAGACATGCCAGAGACTGGAAGCAGAGACTGCAAGTATTAGCTGCTACACATTGTGGGAAAGTGAAATTCAAACTTAATAGGACATTCCACTCCATTTTATTTTTTAATGGGCACTAATGACTTTAATCAAGATAGGATGGGTTACAGAATGTTGCATGGTAAAATTAGTAATGTCAGTCAGTATACACAGAACCTTGATTTATAAGTATAGCATGGAGAGACATACACAGTGTGAAGAGATGAAAATAATTAACCAGATAATTAACCAGGAATCAAACCCTCTAGCCTTCTCTTTTGTCAGCCTCAAAAAGTTTTACTTTATTTTTATTTTTTTCAGAAAGCTTTATTTATAGGCCAAGCAGTTAGGGCAGCTAAAATTCTGAACCAGATGAGTGAGCATGGAAGTTTCTGGAATCTCTGGGACAGATAAAGAGGAGAGCGGCACGGAAGGGCTGAGGGGTTCGGGGCCGAAACAGAAAGACAGATCCAGCAGCCTGATGAAAATGTCCTTTTCCCAAAATTCTGTCTTCTTTTTGCTCTTGATAAACTACAAATAACCAGAAAAACCCCTTCTTATACATTCCACTAATTGGTAACATTTTGATGTGTTTTTGAATTTTGAGTATTTGTGATAACAGAGGCTTTTTCTATAGTAATGTAACCTGATGTGCATGGCCAGGCTCCTCCTTGACCTCCACTTCAGCCAGCTCGCTCAGGCTGCGGAAGGTGTGCCCTGGGTCAGTCAGGGTCCCCAGCCGTGGCCTTCCAGAAGCTGAATTGGATTACAGGGAAGCACTTGTGCTATTCCTGTGTCTGTGTATGGTTATTTTATTTTATTTTGTGTGTGTGTGTGTGTGGCCAGCTCAGCCCACCAGGGGGCGGGGCTGGCTGGCATGTGGTGCTGGGGGATCGAACCGCAGTCCCTGTACTTTGCTAAGCTTGTTCTAAGTAGGTGCTTTAGACCACTGAGCCATCTCACCAGCCCCTGTGTATGGTTATTGTACTTGTTATTGTAATTACACAGTTTGATTATGCAATGAACCACTTAAGTGTGAGTTCAAAAAGGATAGTTTTGTGAAAAATATTTTGAATGATTTGAACAGACTATAAGTGACTGCAAGTCACTCAGAAAGTAGTGCTCAGTTATAGACAGACTGGGAAAAAATGGGGAGGGAAGTCTTAGAAATCTAGAAGGATTTTGCATGTAGATTACTTCATGAATGCTTTCAGAGTTTTGTTCTTTGTGGAAACAGGAATGGCAGCCAGGATATTCACTATGTATGTAAAAAAACCAAACAAAATGTGTACCAGGTATGGTGACACAGCTCTTGGGAGGCCGAGGCAGGTGAATCACTGCAGGTTCCAGGCTAACCTGGGTGTACAGTGAGCTCAAGTCCAGCCTGAACTATGTTGGGGGGGGGGGGAGAAGACAACTTGCAGTTTAACAGTAGACTCATACTTGAAGCAAGATTAAGTCCTTAAAAAAATTTGCAAATAACAAATGAACAAAAAAACTTTGGGTCTATCATGTTACCTACCTGGTGCTTCTTTTCTTGTCCTGAAT